AACCTTCCCACAAGCACCAAGCACCTGCGTCAATGCCGCGCGTTTTGCCAAGACAAAAACCTTACCGCAAGCATCTGCGTCACCGCCACGCGTTTGCCAAGACAAAAACCTTGCCACAAGCACCTGCGTCAGCGCCACGCATTTTGCTAAGACAAAAACCTTCCCACAAGCACCAAGCACCTGCGTCAATGCCAGCGCGTTTTGCCAAGACAAAAACCTTACCGCAAGCATCTGCGTCACCGCCACGCGTTTTGCCAAGACAAAAACCTTGCCACAAGCACCTGCGTCAGCGCCACGCATTTTGCTAAGACAAAAACCTTCCCACAAGCACCAAGCACCTGCGTCAATGCCGCGCGTTTTGCCAAGACAAAAACCTTACCGCAAGCATCTGCGTCACCGCCATGCGTTTTGCCAAGACAAAAACCTTGCCACAAGCACCTGCGTCAGCGCCACGCATTTTGCTAAGACAAAAACCTTCCCACAAGCACCAAGCACCTGCGTCAATGCCGCGCGTTTTGCCAAGACAAAAACCTTACCGCAAGCATCTGCGTCACCGCCACGCTTTTTTTGCCAAGACAAAAACCTTGCCACAAGCACCTGCGTCAGCGCCACGCATGTGGCTAAGACAAAAACCTTCCCACAAGCACCAAGCACCTGCGTCAATGCCGCGCGTTTTGCCAAGACAAAAACCTTACCGCAAGCATCTGCGTCACCGCCACGCTTTTTTTGCCAAGACAAAAACCTTGCCACAAGCGCCTGCGTCAGCGCCACGCATTTTGCCAAGACAAAAACCTTCCCACAAGCACCAAGCACCTGCGTCAATGCCGCGCGTTTTGCCAAGACAAAAACCTTACCGCAAGCATCTGCGTCACCGCCACGCGTTTTGCCAAGACAAAAACCTTGCCACAAGCACCTGCGTCAGCGCCACGCATTTTGCTAAGACAAAAACCTTCCCACAAGCACCAAGCACCTGCGTCAATGCCAGCGCGTTTTGCCAAGACAAAAACCTTACCGCAAGCATCTGCGTCACCGCCACGCGTTTTGCCAAGACAAAAACCTTGCCACAAGCACCTGCGTCAGCGCCACGCATTTTGCTAAGACAAAAACCTTCCCACAAGCACCAAGCACCTGCGTCAATGCCGCGCGTTTTGCCAAGACAAAAACCTTACCGCAAGCATCTGCGTCACCGCCATGCGTTTTGCCAAGACAAAAACCTTGCCACAAGCACCTGCGTCAGCGCCACGCATTTTGCTAAGACAAAAACCTTCCCACAAGCACCAAGCACCTGCGTCAATGCCGCGCGTTTTGCCAAGACAAAAACCTTACCGCAAGCATCTGCGTCACCGCCACGCTTTTTTTGCCAAGACAAAAACCTTGCCACAAGCACCTGCGTCAGCGCCACGCATGTGGCTAAGACAAAAACCTTCCCACAAGCACCAAGCACCTGCGTCAATGCCGCGCGTTTTGCCAAGACAAAAACCTTACCGCAAGCATCTGCGTCACCGCCACGCTTTTTTTGCCAAGACAAAAACCTTGCCACAAGCGCCTGCGTCAGCGCCACGCATTTTGCCAAGACAAAAACCTTCCCACAAGCACCAAGCACCTGCGTCAATGCCGCGCGTTTTGCCAAGACAAAAACCTTGCCACGAGCACCTGCGTCAGCGCCACGCATCTTGCTAAGACAAAAACCTTCCCACAAGCACCAAGCACCTGCGTCAATGCCGCGCGTTTTGCCAAGACAAAAACCTTACCGCAAGCATCTGCGTCACCGCCACGCGTTTTGCCAAGACAAAAACCTTGCCACAAGCACCTGCGTCAGCGCCACGCATTTTGCTAAGACAAAAACCTTCCCACAAGCACCAAGCACCTGCGTCAATGCCGCGCGTTTTGCCAAGACAAAAACCTTACCGCAAGCATCTGCGTCACCGCCACGCGTTTTGCCAAGACAAAAACCTTGCCACAAGCACCAAGCACCTGCGTCAGCGCCACGCATTTTGTTAAGACAAAAACCTTCCCACAAGCACCAAGCACCTGCGTCAATGCCGCGCGTTTTGCCAAGACAAAAACCTTACCGCAAGCATCTGCGTCACCGCCACGCGTTTTGCCAAGACAAAAACCTTGCCACAAGCACCTGCGTCAGCGCCACGCATTTTGCTAAGACAAAAACCTTCCCACAAGCACCAAGCACCTGCGTCAATGCCGCGCGTCTTGCCACAACAAAAACCTTACCGCAAGCATCTGCGTCACCGCCATGCGTTTTGCCAAGACAAAAACCTTGCCACAAGCACCTGCGTCAGTGCCACGCATTTTGCTAAGACAAAAACCTTCCCACAAGCACCAAGCACCTGCGTCAATGCCGCGCGTTTTGCCAAGACAAAAACCTTACCGCAAGCATCTGCGTCACCGCCACGCGTTTTGCCAAGACAAAAACCTTGCCACAAGCACCTGCGTCAGCGCCACGCATTTTGCTAAGACAAAACCTTCCCACAAGCACCAAGCACCTGCGTCAATGCCGCGCGTTTTGCCAAGACAAAAACCTTACCGCAAGCATCTGCATCACCGCCACGTGTTTTGCCAAGACAACAACCTTGCCACAAGCACCTGCGTCAGCGCCACGCATTTTGCTAAGACAAAAACCTTCCCACAAGCACCAAGCACCTGCGTCAATGCCGCGCGTTTTGCCAAGACAAAAACCTTACCGCAAGCATCTGCGTCACCGCCACGCGTTTTGCCAAGACAAAAACCTTGCCACAAGCACCTGCGTCAGCGCCACGCATTTTGCTAAGACAAAAACCTTCCCACAAGCACCAAGCACCTGCGTCAATGCCGCGCGTTTTGCCAAGACAAAAACCTTACCGCAAGCATCTGCGTCACCGCCACGCGTTTTGCCAAGACAAAAACCTTGCCACAAGCACCTGCGTCAGCGCCACGCATTTTGCTAAGACAAAAACCTTCCCACAAGCACCAAGCACCTGCGTCAATGCCGCGCGTTTTGCCAAGACAAAAACCTTACCGCAAGCATCTGCGTCACCGCCACGCGTTTTGCCAAGACAAAACCTTCCCACAAGCACCAAGCACCTGCGTCAATGCCGCGCGTTTTGCCAAGACAAAAGCCTTACTGCAAGCATCTGCGTCACCGCCACGCGTTTTGCCAAGACAAAAACCTTGCCACAAGCACCTGCGTCTGCGTCAATGCCGCGCGTTTTGCCAAGACAAAAACCTTACCGCAAGCATCTGCGTCACCGCCACGCGTTTTGCCAAGACAAAAACCTTGCCACAAGCACCTGCGTCAGCGCCACGCATTTTGCTAAGACAAAAACCTTCCCACAAGCACCTGCGTCAGCGCCACGCATTTTGCTAAGACAAAAACCTTCCCACAAGCACCAAGCACCTGCGTCAATGCCGCGCGTTTTGCCAAGACAAAAGCCTTACTGCAAGCATCTGCGTCACCGCCACGCGTTTTGCCAAGACAAAAACCTTGCCACAAGCACCTGCGTCAGCGCCACACATTTTGCGAAGACAAAAACCTTCCCACAAGCACCTGCGTCAGCGCCACGCATTTTGCTAAGACAAAAACCTTCCCACAAGCACCAAGCACCTGCGTCAATGCCGCGCGTTTTGCCAAGACAAAAACCTTACCGCAAGCATCTGCGTCACCGCCACGCGTTTTGCCAAGACAAAAACCTTGCCACAAGCACCTGCGTCAGCGCCACGCATTTTGCTAAGACAAAACCTTCCCACAAGCACCAAGCACCTGCGTCAATGCCGCGCATTTTGCCAAGACAAAAACCTTACCGCAAGCACCTGCGTCACCGCCACGCGTTTTGCCAAGACAAAAACCTTGCCACAAGCACCTGCGTCAGCGCCACGCATTTTGCTAAGACAAAAACCTTCCCACAAGCACCTGCGTCAGCGCCACGCATTTTGCTAAGACAAAAACCTTCCCACAAGCACCAAGCACCTGCGTCAATGCCGCGCGTTTTGCAGAGACAAAAACCTTACCGCAAGCATCTGCGTCACCGCCACGCGTTTTGCCAAGACAAAAACCTTGCCACAAGCACCTGCGTCAGCGCCACGCATTTTGCTAAGACAAAAACCTTCCCACAAGCACCAAGCACCTGCGTCAATGCCGCGCGTTTTGCCAAGACAAAAACCTTACCGCAAGCATCTCACCGCCACGCGTTTTGCCAAGACAAAAACCTTGCCACAAGCACCTGCGTCAGCGCCACGCATTTTGCTAAGACAAAAACCTTCCCACAAGCACCAAGCACCTGCGTCAATGCCGCGCGTTTTGCCAAGACAAAAACCTTACCGCAAGCATCTGCGTCACCGCCACACGTTTTGCCAAGACAAAAACCTTGCCACAAGCACCTGCGTCAATGCCATGTGTTTTGCCAAGACAAAAACCTTACCGCAAGCATCTGCGTCACCGCCACGCGTTTTGCCAAGACAAAAAACCTTGAAATCACAAAGTTGCGATCACCATGTTGAAGCAGTCCCGAAGCTTGCACAGCCGCGAGCAAAGCGAGCAAACGCAAAAAGTCGGCATCCCCTTTTTCTGTGCACAGCTCAAGGGTGGCAAGGATGGCGACACCTATTCGAGGAAAACATTTCGCGATGCAGACGAACTGAAGCCACTAAAGAGGAACACCTTCAGAGAGGGTTCTCCTACGTTCTCCTTATATCCTTCTGTAGTGTCAAAAGCCTGGTGCACGTGGAAGATCGTGGCAGACATGTCTTAAAGGCTTGTGATGCAAGGAGCTGAAGCAATGCGGTCCAACTTTGCCCTGGTGACGAGATGACAGACGCTCCCCACGTGGTAGTTTGAAGGTAATATGCAATGCGTCGTAGCCATGCGTCTGAGACATGCAAAGGGCTGCGCCCCTGCGGCAATACAGGCTGCTACATGTGAGGCACGTGCGATAAGACTGCCCGCGGCCCTCGCGCAAAAAGCAGGGCAGAACCGAACTGGTGCAACTTTGGCTCCATCTCCTACGCAGCTACGCAGGGCACTGAATCCCGGTGATCCCCCACAGCGAGCACTGGTCGGCCATGACCAGCCTGCCGCTGCAGGGATGCAAGCGGTGATGCAGCTTGAGATGTGTCTTGATGTGCGCGATCTTGGGTGGCATGCTAGAGTGAAATGTGGGATAAGGAAAGATGTGCAAGATGGCGTCGGGGAGTTTGGGCACGCAGCCGCTCGAGATAGCATTGAGAAACCACACTTCCCTGTGGCCACTCTGAGCTGCAATGAAAAGTGGTGTGGCAGCTTGGTCGGTTCCCCCACCAGCTTCGAGCAGCGACCTTGTGGCTGCTGCCAGGCCTAGCTGCAACATGCAAGGCTATCATGTTGTGTTGTGCCGATAGGCTTGGATCCTGGGTCGCTTCGTGACACCCACGTTGGTGACGCTCGCGCTACGTTCACACCCTTTCATTCACGCGTTCCGTTACAAACTTGAGCCACCACCTGTGACTTGCACAGAACAAGCTCCGGAGAGACAGCTTGGTCAATTTCAATAGGTCATTACAGAACCCTCGCTGGGCGAAGGCCTGCGATGAGGCTCCTCAGAATCCTTGTCTCAGACACAGCAACGCTTTAGCAGCGAAGTAGCACGACCCACGTCCGGCAGTGATGGATGCGTCCACCCCCAATGAGAGTGCAACGTGAGAATATTTTCAGTGGAGCTGCGCCTTCACATTGCCAATGTTGTTCCTTTTATCTCGAAGGCCCATGCTCGCGGCACAGACCGCCCTGTAGAGCGCGCCTGTATTGTGGAATGGCTTTGTGGGCTTGCTTTTCAGTTGCAAGCACAGCTTAACCCAGACTAGAGCCGGTCATGCTCGGGAGCCCGGCACTTGCCCGCGCCTGCCCCGAAAAAACACAACTCACAGTGGGCAGGGCAAGGCAAACCCAGAACTTCGTGGCGCAGGCTGAGGCCAAAACAAGAGGCAAAGGCACGTGGAGAGGCTCGCAGCCCCACGCTGCAACTTTTTAGCCGCATGGCTGGGCGCGCACGGCTGGGGGCACATTCGGCCATTCGCGTGACCTCTGAGAAAGGCTGTAACTTGCAAAGGTGCCCCCCGCATCATTGCCCCGCATCTTCTGCACCGAGCTTTGGCCCACGCAGCCCAAGATGAGCTGGTGCTATCTTATGAATCTGGAAGTGGGCTGCAGGAATACTTCAGGACATCGTATCTTGCGGAACCTCAGCACACCGGCTTGCAAGCGACAGCACAAATGAAGAGGCACTGAAAGAAGTCTAAGTACGGAGATGTCCTGAGAAATATCTTCACATTGGTCTAGCTCGATTTGGCCTGTGACTATGGTGAGGAGATTCGCTGAGCATGGAAGAGTGCCCTTCTCGAAGTTCGAGGCTCAACCAGCAGAGGTGTCAAATGTGTCAGGTCATTTTACAACCCTAAACCCTAAACCCTAAACCCTAAACCCTAAACCCTAAACCCTAAACCCTAAACCCTAAACCCTAAACCCTAAACCCTAAACCCTAAACCAAACTGCAACACCAGAAGGCAGCTCTTGGCGACGGTGGGCAACGACACAAAAATCATGCAGAAAACATCCAACAAGGTATTTCCGCAAACCAGAACCGTTTGGGGTCCTCTCCTCAGAAAAGAAGTGTCACGCGCTTGGCTAGATTGGTTGCACGCGGCTAGTTGCTCACGAGCACGCCCAGAAGCCTGTGCTGGTAACGAAATCGTGGCTCCATAATCTCCATAAGGGTTGTGAAATGCCCTGCGGCCAGTAAAACACGTTCCGTAAACGATTTGTGTGCTGGTTTAACGTAATAGTGGCTCCATAAGGGTTGTGAATATCTGAGACCAGCCCTGAAACTTGTGTTTTAACGTGGCAAAACACCATGGATGCATCCCCTGCGGCCAAATAGCTCGCGCCATGTTTCCCCTGCGACCAAACAGCTCGCGCCATGTCGCGATTATTTGGTCATCACGGCGCAAGTGGGGTGCTAGCTGCTTACGATGTCACCCTACGAGCGCAAAGGGAGGGGACGTGCAACAAACTTCTAGGGCCCTCACCAAACCCTACGAGCACAAAAGGGAGGGGACATATGACAAACCCCCAAAACATATGTGTTTGCTTCTACAGTGTTCTGAATCCCCAGGCTTGGGTGCTATTTGAGTACGCTCGGCCCCCCACAAAGCAGGATGCCAGTTGAACACGCGCGGTCCCGAAAACTTGGGTGCTATTTGAGTACGCTTGGTGCCCAAAAAGCAGGATGCTACAGTGGGCGTGCAACAGTGGGCCGCTAAGTGTTTTCTGCCACTTGCCCCGCTTGCCCCACTTGCCCCACGTGCCCCACTTGGGGGCAGGTGGGAAAGTGGGGTGGCAAGTGGGGCAAGTGGCCCCCCCTCCTCAAATCAGGTTGAATTTGACTTTTCGTCTGAGCAAAAACGACAGCGGTGCAGGTAGATGGGCAAATGGCAGCCGGGACAACCGGAGGGGCATCCTCATGCCCACGCCACCATCTGTCGTTCCTTCTACCAGGCGCTTGGGGCAGGCATATGCGGCCCCTTCCCATGAAAATTGTTTCCCGGGCTTGTGGTCAAGGGCAAACGAAGCCGGAGGGGCAACACGTGAATGGAAGCTGAATCCGCCCCTACCTTTGCCAAGCTGGGCCCGGCAAGGACCCAAAGACAGCTCGGACTGAGGCAGACTGGTTGGGGTGAGCATGCTGGGACCGATGGCGTGGCTCTTCCTCTGAGGGAGGGGGGGGTTCACAAGTTCACTTGCCCCCCTTGCCCCACTTGCGCTAATTGGCCGGCTTCTTCCTCCCACTTTCCAACCCCAAGCGGAAAAGCAAGTGTGGGGCAAGTGGGGCAATGGGCGCCCCCCATGGGATGCTAGTTGAACACGCTCCGTCTTTCGCACACACAAGGACCGACCAAGACGCCTCTCTGAAACCTTCAAACCTTGCACGCTGGGCACTTCGAGCACTTTCTGGTTCTAGGGTTCAGGCCTAACTGTTACGGGCCCTCACCCTACGAGCATGAAGGGAGGGGACATGCGACAAACTTCTAGGGCCCTTTGCTGCAAACTTCTAAGGACGTGTTTTTGCTTCTACAGGGTTCGGAAAGTAAAAACGTTAGGAACAACATAGGGTGCTTTTGCGCTTGTATAAAACTTTTCGCAGAGGAAACAGGGTTTGTACCCAACTCTTCTTGCTCTGCGAAAACAGCTCCTACAAAAACGGGTGATTTAAGTAAACAGAGATGTTTATCCCTTGTGTGCCGTTAACGTAATCGTGGCTCTATAGGGGGTACAAGCACAAAAGCATCCTAACGTCTGCACTTTCAGAACACTGTAGAAGTACAAACATATCCCTTAGAAGTTTGTCGTATGTCCCCTCCCTTCGTGCGAGGGTTTGGTCAGGCCCTAGAGGTTAATGTAACCATTTTGCAGTGCAGGCGGCGGGTTATGGGGCCACGATTACGTTACCAGCACAGGCTTTTAGAACCGCTTAAAAATGCAGGCGGGCTATAGGGCCACGATTACGCTACCAGCACAGGCTTTTGGGCGGAGAACACGAGCTCTGAAAACGTGTTTTGACGTGTTAAAACACCATAGATGTTTCCGCTGCGACAAAATAGCTCGCAGCTATCTGGTCATCAGGGCGCAGAAGGGGTGTTAAAACACCATGGATGTGTCACCTGCGACCAAATACCTCGCGCCCCATCATGGCGCGATCTTTTTGGTCATCAGGGCGCAGAAGGGGTGCTAGTTGCTTACGACCCCACGAGCGCGAAGGGAGGGGACATACGACAAACTTCGAGGGCCCTCACCAAGCCCCACGAGCACTAAGACGGGGGGCCTACGACAAACGTCGAAGGGATATGTTTTTACTGCTACAGTGTTCTGCTTGTGCGGCCCCCAAAACTTGGGTGCTTTTTGATTACGCTCGGTCCCCCAAAAGCAGGATGCTAGTTGAACACGCTCGGTTCCCAAAACTTTGGTGCCATTGGAGTAAGCTCGGTCCCCAAAAAAGCAGGATGCTATGCCGACCATGGAAAAAACATCGAGAAAGCGTGCGCGGATTGGTCTTTCGGGGCATTTGGGAAATACAAAGGTTGCAAAGGAGCAAAAACCGTCAGGCCTGTCAGGGCGCAGATGGGGTGCTAGCTGCTTACGATGAAACCCAAAAACCTGTGTTGGTAACGTAATCGTGGCTCTATAAGGGTTGTGAAAATGCCCCTGCGACCAGTAAAACACATTCCCTAAAGGAGGTGGTTTAAGTACATTGAGATGTCTATCCCTGTGCTGGTAACATAGCAGTGGCTCCATATGGGTTGTGCATGTGCCCCCTGCGACCAGCCCTGAAAACTTTTGTGGTAATGTGCTAAAACATCATGGATGCTCCCCTGCGACCAAATAGCTCGCGCCATGGCGCGAGCTATTTGGTCATCAGGGCGCAGAAGGGGTGCTAGTTGCTTACGACCCTACGAGCACGAAGGGAGGGGAGGTGCGACAAACTTCGAGGGCCCTCACCAAACCTACGAGCACAAAGGGAGGGGACATACGCCAAACGTCGAAGGGATATGTTTTTGCTTCTACAGTTCTACAGTGTTCTGAAAATGCGGTCCCCAAACCTTGGGTGCCTTTCGACTACGCTCAGTCCCCCAAAATCAGGATGCTAGCTGAACCCGCTTGGTTCCCAAAACTTGGGTACGCTCGGTCCCGCAAAGCAGGATGCTAGTTGAACACACTCGGTCCCCAAAACTTGGGTGCTATTTGAGTACGCTCGGTTCCCAAAAGCAGGATGCTAGTTGAACACGCCCAGTCTTTTCATACATACAAGGACCGACTCCTCTCTCAAACCTTCAAACGTCGCAAGCTGGGCCCTTCAAGCACGTTCTGGTTCTAAGGCGGGCCCTCACCCTACGAGCACAAAGGGAGGGGACGTGCGGCAAACTTCTACGGCCTTCACCAAACCTTACGAGCACGAAGGGAGGGGACATACGACAACCCTCTAAGGGATAGGTCTTAAGGCTGTTTTTGCGCTTGTTCCTTCTAGTGCAGGCCAAGAAAGGCATGAATCATGTCTGTGCCTTTGGGTTCTGACTCGTGGTGCTGCATGACTCACCTACGAAGGTGCCGGCACTGAAGCTTAGGGGTGACTGACTCTAAACGCCTGTCAAATATTATGTCGCGTTGCTGTTTCACGCGTTTTCCCTTTCTCTGCAATCTTACTGTTTGGGGTCTCCGCTGGCAGAATTCTAGGCGATGTAGAAACTTGCTTCCGGCCTCCTTTTGCAGGCAATAACCAAGCTCATGCTGCTTTCATCATATCGCTTATCTTGCTTCAAAGTTGCGTTCGAACTTTGAGGGCAGATGCAACAAAGGAGCTACAAAAAACAGGGAATCCTTCGAGACTACCTAGGCCATGGGATCTCTGCATCAGCTCAGGCTCTATGCTGAGCACCACTCCATTTCCGCCTGTTGTGCCTGATGACCGCCGGAAACTTCTGGACTTACGAAAAGAAGTCCTCTCATGGGAGTGCCGGAGTGTGGCCCAAGCTGTCTCTGGTTCTCAATCTCTAGGCCAACTCTTAGAGCTAAGGGCCCCTTCAAGTGCCTCTGGCGCCGCCGCAGGCTGAAATCACACAGTTCCTGACAGCGCATTGTCTAACAATGACAGGAACTGGCCTCCCCAGGCGGGAACTGCAAGATGCACACAGAGAGAGCCGCGCATCCCGTCTGCCCGAGTCCATTGAATCATTGAGTCCTGAGCCCCCCCAAAAAACAGAGAGAGAATTGAGAGAATCCAGAAAAGAGAGCAGCGCAGACGTATGCAACTCATCGCCAAGCACCGAGACAGGGCTCCAAGCGCTCAGTCAGGTCTGCTGCGCTGAGCTCTCCCAAACGTCGAAGATTCACAGTGTCCGCTTCAACAGCGCTTGCTCTGTGAAGTGGTGTCACGTGTCAACGGGCGTCTTCTGCGCTAGCTGTGATCGCCACGAGCTGACGGCTTTCTGCTGCTCTAAGCCTCAATCTCAATAAGGCTTCAAGAGATGCACTTCAGTGCGCAGTGCAGAGCGCAGGCGGAAGGTGCCTGGAACCTGGGTAGAACGCTCTAAGATTTGTCAATGATGTCCTGGTGGGCAGCTTGCATGCAAATGCTGCACAGCGAGGCCGAGCATGCGAAAGACCCAATTGCCAAACCTTGCGCGATGAGCTGAAGTTCGGCTCTCGCCATCTGCTGTGCGCACGGGGGAGGCTCTTCACAATGCGCACCAGAAAGTGCCACTTTTTGGCGCCCAAGCGGTTGAGGTTTGATGCTTACAGCGCATCAGCTTGCTGCATGGACCGGTTGAGGAGAAAAGTCAATAATGGTCCGCCACAGGACTTGTTGAGCTGCAGGGCATGCTGCAGCTCCCAGGCTTCACCATCTGCGCTACACGTTGTGGCAAATCGCTGCCTCAGAAGGTGCTTTGTGCTGGGCGCGGCCATGTCACGTCACGTCTCCTTCGCAAGTCGCTAGGTGATCGCTAGGAGTGACGGCTTCTGTGCATTTAGGGTTTAGGTTTAGGGTCTAGGGTCGCCCCTGAGTGAAAGTTTAGCGCCGGCAGCATCTAGGTGGCGGGCAGAAGATCGTCATTTCCTGGTCTCCTTAAGTACATGCCGCCCACATCTCTTCTCTACAATCAACAAATGCTGGGCTCCTTCTGTTCCGCAGTCCTGAGCCTCCTGAATCACTCTGAGGGCGCCCCCCCCCCCCCCCCCCAGAATGAGAAAGCCCCCGACTGCCTTGCAGAGAACGGAAAGCACTTGCAGAACGTTCAAAAAGGAATGGGGTGGACATGTTGGCGCAGCCTGCATAGTTGTGCAAGGTAACTGGGAAGTCCAAGCAACCTCCGAAGCAAGCATCCGTGTACTGAGGAACTGTTGGCGGAAGCGTGCGCTGCCACAACTTGGGCTAAACCTTTGACGCTGTGATGGCGTGGGCGTGGGGGGGGGGGGGGTTGGGGGCTAGTGTGCAGCTCACATGCTGCGTCGGTAATCATGGCAGCTATCGCAGTCGGGGTTCTCCACAGCAAATCTCACTATAGAGCTGAAGGTTGCTGAACATCACCCGTCAAGTGCAAAAAGCCATGGGGACCCTGCAACAGGTCATCTCCAAGGGCGAAGCAGCAGACGAGGACTTGATGCACTGCGGCAATGGAAATGGCGCACACCCGGTCACTGGGGCCGAAGAACCACTCGGGTGTGGTTCTGGATTGCAAGTCTGCAGCGTGTCGGCCCTCCACAAAGAAGACTTCCCTCCCTTCAGCATTGTGTTGGCATCCAGCTGTATATGTGCGTTCTTTTGTTCGCAGGCGCTCCTAGGCCTCGTGTTGGCGTGTCCGACACTGTCAAGTGCGTCTGCACCGTACATGCTGACATGTTAACCAGCGCCCGTCATTGCGCCTCAGAGTGCCTGTGATGGGATATGTGGGGTGAGAGCGTGCAGTGTGGCATCAACACAAATGATCCACCCCTTTCTTTGGACAGATAAAGAAACAGCCCACGCCTGCCATCGAGCACAAGGCGTCCTTGCATCCGGGCATGAGTCCCCCGAAACCTAGACAGGCCCAGGAGTGCACGACAGGAGCACCTTGGCGCGTACTCCAAGCACACAAGACCAGCTTCACACCTGTCCAAGGCCGGCCATCCAGAAGTATGTGCGGTCTGCGGGGACTCAGCGCAGAAAGGGCTCCGCTCAGCGATGCTGCTCAACTGAGCCCGAAGCCTGAAACGCCGATAATAAGGCCCTGGCAAAGCTGACAGCATTTTTCAGGCTTGACATAGTGGACGCCCCGGTGACGACCAAACACTTCTGGCTATTTGGGGGCTACTGAGCGCAGCAATGGGAGCTGCTTCTCAGGCGTTCCTGCTTTACACAGAGAGCGGCGATTTCTTCAGCAGCAGAGTCTATATATGCGAAGCAAGCAGCTGCCCTGCCGAGAACTTCGTTCAGGGTTTAGGGTTTAGGGTTTAGGGTTAACTTTACAGAGGGGACCCGCGCGTTACGAAGGCTCTGGGCCCGACACTTAGATGCAAAGTCCGAGAAGCCGTGGGGCGCTTGCTCAGATGGGGCGGGGCCGGTTGCTGGGCTGGCGGTTGCCCACATGTTCTGGAGGTGTTGTGAGGGGAAGCTCGTTCCCTTGTGACCTCAGGCCAAACAGCTCGCGGAGCGCAGGCGCAGCCATCGCGCCAAGCGCATTGCCGAAGATGCAGCTACAACCTTGGCATTCCAGCAGCCGCAGGGGACAAAGGGCGAGCATATGCAGAGAGGCAGAGCCCTAAACCCTAAACCCTAAACCCTAAACCCTAAACCCTAAACCCTAAACCCTAAACCCTAAACCCTAAACCCTAAACCCTAAACCCTAAACCCCCTGTGAGAGTTCAAGAGCAGAGGGACGACGGGAGTTCATGGGAGCCGGAGCCCTCGGAGCTCTTAAAGGCCCTCGGAAGCCCTCGGAGCCTTAGAAGGTTTTAGGGTTTAGGGTTTAGGGTTTAGGGTTTAGGGTTCAAGTCACAAAAGGAAGGGGGGAACACATTCTGAGAGAGCTTAGCCTTCTGTGAGCCCAGGGCTCTAAGTGCAAAAGGAGTAAACCAGTCTTCCGCGGGAAAGGGAAGAGAAGGAGCGAGGGAGGTAGCGGAAGGCAACATCGCGAACTTGGAAGTCTAAACACCACATCGTCCAAACTCTGTGACCCAGCCACCTCACTCTGTGCTTGGGCAGCAATGGTTGTAAAGCAAAAAGTTGCAAACTCACAGCTGAGCGCCACACGTTGCACGATGACACGGACTCCCATGTGTGCCGTCCTCACGACATTTGCTATCTCTCTTGGCGGAAGGTGTCGGATAACAAGGCAGACATGAAAATCTCCAATCTGCACCATAAACATCCACAACGTTTCAGCAAAAGGGATGACCCAGTCCTGGTGCAGGAGCACAGCACCAAACAGCAAGCCAAGCGGAGTTTGCTGGACTTCTCAAATACGATGCAGTGTTTTCGAAACTCGGACCTTGGGGGTTTAGGGTTATGCAGATACACTTCCTGTCCCAAAAGGCCGAATGATGACTAGAAGACGGATCACAGTCTAACCAAAAGAGACAATGGGTACTGAAGCCCTTGTGCCGGAGGAGTGCTATACTCCCCAAAGGCGAATGATGACTGGCATGTTGAACTCTGATTATGAAGATGCGAACATACTAGCGAAAAGGAAGATGTACTAGAGGCAAGACATTATTCATAAGTTCGCAAGAGAGTGTCTTCGTGCCATTCTTCTCAATGCTTCTGTTCCACTCACTTGTCTTCCTGTCCTTTCAAAAAACAGAGGAACATGAACCAAACAAGTTGATGGACCTTCATGCGGAGCGACACATCAAACAAGAACAAGACTTGGTGCTCAAGCTCGGGTGGAATAGGATAGGGGGGTTTACAATATTCGGGGGCACCTTATTGGAGTCCTTCTTCCTGGATCCTACTGTCGTAGACCCCCATATACGACATTCCGAAACGAAAACAAGATAATAGTCTAAGCACACGTAGACGTGGGACAGCACGCTCCCAGCTAGACCCGCCTTGAGCATGGTTTGACAGTGGCATGGTCGCTCAAACATCATGCACTCACAGTAACACGACGTCTGGCCGTCAAGCAACATCTTGCGAGTCTCTCTCAGCACAGGTATCCTGCAGAATCTCTGGCAACTCTAAGATATGTTCGACGTTCGACATACCCCTTAGGCATAACCGTAAAATTGATTAAGGTGTTTGACCGAATCGTTCCGTTTCTTCTCCGTCTATCGGTTAAGGGATGATGGGTTTGGGCGTCCACAGGCAACCGCCAAAACACCATGGCAGCATCACGCCTCCCCAGAAGCAGATGGTCAATTCGAAGCAATGAGGTGTAGGGGTTTCGGGACTTACGGCTCAGGGGGGGGGGCTGGCAGGTACCTCCAAGAAACCCCGGGGTTCAGCACTTTCTATCCCCAAAACGCCGCAAAAAACCCCTTAATCAAGGAATATTGCTTAAATCATATTACGGATCCCTTTATGAATTTAAGGCATATTCCTTAAGGGGTATTGGGCACTTTCTATCATGGCAAGGTTTGCCGGCGGCTGCTTTGCAGCTGGCGGGGAAAAATTTGGGGACCGGGAGTCGGTTGAAAGCTACGTTGTGCTGGCACCGAGATCTGATGTCGCGCTGGCATGTCTTAACATGCTCGCGCGGACACCGGAGTAGAGCAAAATGGTGTTGAGAGAAAGACTAGGCTCGTCTCCCATTTTCGGGAGGGTTTTTAGACATACCCAGAGAGCCCAATACCCCTTAATTAAGGAATATGCCTTAAATGATAAAGGGATCCTTAATATGATTTAAGCAATATTCCTTAATTAAGGGGTTTTGAGCTCTTTGGGTAATTTGTGAAACTTGTGGCAACTACATGGTCACATACCGGGCGTAGCAGGGCCTCAAACGCTGATGGCCACCACCTGCGGTTGCTGTCACTTTTCTCTGCTGCGCGGAGAGTCGACTAGGTTAGGGCCCTTTGCGCCTCTTGCGTTGAAAGATTCTCCACTGGGAAAAGCGCATGAGAAAAACATCCCAGGCCCCCACCACCATGGCTATAGGAATCGAAACGCGGGATGCCGCCAAGGGGACAACATGGCAGGGATGAACGTAACTGCATGGCTGAGACTCCTACGACCTCCGGTGCAACCTCGCCAAGAGCCGCTGAAGGAGGGTTCGCACCCGGTCTACCCAATCAGAAAATCCCAAACCCTAAGCCCTAAGCTCTAAACCCTAAACCCTCAACCCTCAACCCTGAACCCTGAACCCTCAACCCTAAGCCCTAAACCCACTTGCCTGGCGAACATCTGGCAGATCGAGCTCTCGCGCTTCGTGCTCTCGCGGGACGTGCTCGCGGTGCACCGCGGCTGTGAGGCTCAGCTCGCTGAGGCCAGTCCTTGGAGCAAGCGAGATGATCCTCCGGCTGTTTTGGTTTTTTTTTTTTTTTTGGGTTTTGGGTTTGTAGGGTTTAGGGTTTTGGGGAGTCCTTGGAGCAAAAGTTTCCCTCAACTCTCAAAGCGAGACGATGCTGCGCTTTGTTTTGGGCTTAGGAGTCAGAAAACCCACCACTGAGAGCCGAAAACGACGTGGCTTTCAGAGCTGCAAGCCACAACACTGGTCTCTGCTGAGATTCTTGATCTGCTCGCTCATCTCCAAGATCTTCCGGACGTCCTGACCATCACTTGAAACGAGGCCCTAAACCCTAAACCCTAAACCCTAAACCCTAAACCCTAAACCCTAAACCCTAAACCCTGTATGCAAGAACAAACCTCATGGCAGGAAGGATGGTCGGGGACTTTGTGGAGGAATGCTCTCGGGATTTTGCTTGGCGCGTCCGTTGTCGGTTGGCCGGCGGGGCAACAGGGGGAGTGAAGCGAATCCAGAAGCTTCGGGAATGCACGTTAACTAGCCTGCTACGATATATGGTAACACTATCTATCTATCTATATATCTATCTATCTATATATGTATATGTATATGTATACATTTTTATACATTGTACCGTGTTGATATGCTCATTTACTTCGTGCTCTTGTTGCGGCTGTTGCTGGTTTCTGATGCATCCCCCCAGCGTTCCAAGAGGTGATCTTGGTGATCATGTCGGTTCCTTTGAGAAGCGTTGGAGTCTCGAGCCCTAAACTCCTCAATTCGAGACTCTACAGCTCTACCCTAACCCCCCCCCCCCCCCCCCCCCCCCCCCCCGCAAAAAAAAAAAAAAAACCCCCCCCCCCCCCCCCCCCCCCCCCCCCCCCCAACCCCCCAAACTACACCCCGCAGGAGGAGGTGCCCGAGAGCCTGGGCGCGGCCGGAGCCCCGAAGCCGCGAGACGCCCTGGACGAGCCTGTTGGACGCCCCCCTCTTCCCCCCTCTTCCCTCCTCTTCCCCCCCCTCTTCCCCGCTGAACGCGAGATACCCGAGTTCTTTCAAAGTTGGGGTGGCTTCGAGGGTTTGGGGTGTTGGGGGGGGGTTAGTGCTTTCGTGCTTCTGCGGAAGGGTTTGTCGGGACAGGGCTTAAAAAAGCTATTTGCGGGGGAGAGGTTTCACGGGTTTTGGGGGTGGGCGGTTCAGGCTTCGGGGTCTGGAGCTCAGGTTGGATCAGACCCTTCAACCTCTTCAACCCGAATCACCAAAAACCGGCGGTTTTTGTAGCTCCAAGAGTGCGCCGAAGGCCCAGCAACGCCTCTCCACTTCACTCCGCAGCTTTAACTGCAGTGCTTCCTCACACGTCCTGAAACACCCTGGACCTCGGGATGCTTCCCCTTGGCCCCTGATACTAACAGTCCTTACTAAGGCTTCTAGTACCCCCCCCCCCCCCCATTAGGGTTAATAGGGCTTCTAGTACCCCCCTCCCCCCCCCCCCTATTAGAGTCCCTATTAAGGATATAAGGGGCAACATCCCAACCTGAACCTGCTGACCAAGGTGCTCATCCGCCGACAGCCTGCCATCACGACCTGGAATCGCGACCCGAAGCTACTTGGAACCTACACTGCAATATTTGGGTTTAGGGCTTAGGGGTGGTTTTTTTGGGGGGGAGGGTTCCCACAATAAGGAGTAGAGCGTCTTGATGTGTATGAAGAGAGGCACCCCTCTTTTTGCGGAAGTGCCAATCTGTGAGTACACTGTCATATTGTGCTGTTACAGTTTCATGAGATGGAAACCTTCAAGTCTCATGTTTTTTCCGATGTACGAAGTGATTCAGGAGCTAACTCATTGTGGAAGCCTTCCGCGGTCCAAGCTCAGTGAGCCGGCATACGGACACACCTTGCCCTGCATACCTGGACGTCTTGCACTGTCAAACAAGGCGCTTGGCTACAGAGGCTGCAGATTGCTCAAAGGTATTCCCCTCAACCCTAAACCCTCAACCCTGAACCCTAAACCATTCACTTGAAGTTGAACAATGACGGCGCCTGTGTCCAGCATGGTGAAGAGCTCCTGCAAAGGTTTTGCGGCGGCTTCCCAGACATCTCAAACATCGGAGAATCCGCCTCTGAGGCCTCTCCGATCAGTCCCGGCAAAACAAGGCCGTGAGCCCCAGAGATCAAAGGAAGTGCGATCCTTGTCTCAGTTAGGCCCTCTAGAAAGATCCCATACACAGAAGGGCCTTGGACTTCTGAGAGGGCGGCGCGCAACCTAGAGAAGCCCCAGGCGCAACTCCGGGTCTCGGGCCTTTAGGGTCACTACCGATGTGTACGGTACACATCGGTTCAGGGTCTTTAGAAGATTTAGGAATTAAGGGGTTTAGGGTATTGCGGTTCAGGGGTTCAGGATATAGGGCCGCTACTACCGCTACCACTTACTGATCTTCAAGGGTCCTCGACGTTGCTGACGTCCAACTCCATCGCCGAGAGCCAAACCTTGACCTGCACTGCGAGGCTTCGGGGGGAGGGGGGGGGCCTTGAAGATAACATGCATGGTTGATAGGGCTTCTTTGAGGTTTAGAAAGCTTTATAGGGTTTCTTCTTCTTCTGCTATACAAAACATGGCTTCCAGGAATATGCACGCTCCTGCTTCTGAGGGCGGCGCAACGGGACAACCCTAAGAAATGCATGGACAGAAAAGCCTCACTGAACCCCAAGTGGACATTGCCAGAAGACTTCACAAGGATTCTGCAAGGGTGATAAGGCTTCATAGGGTTTCTTTATTTAAGACTGTATAGGGGTTCTTTAATGGTTATAAGGCTTCATAGGGTTTCTTTATTTAAGACTGTATAGGGGTTCTTTAATGGTTATAAGGCTGTACACAGTCTCTTTGAGGTTTGTGAGGCTTTGTAGGGCTTCTTTGAGGTTTATAAGGCTCTATAGGGCTTCGTTGAGGCGTATAAGGCTTTATAGGGTTTCTTTGAGGTATATGTGGCTTGATTGGGTTTCGTCCAAGTTTATGAGGCTTTATTGGGGTTTCTTTAAGGTTCATAAGGCTTTTTGGGGTTTCTTTAAGGTTTAGAAGGCTTTATAGGGTTTCTTTAGGGTTCAGACCGCTTTCTAGGGTTTCTTTAAGGTTGATAAGGCTCACAAGGCTTTATAGGGTTTCTTCAAGGTGTGTAAGGCTTTCTAGGGTGTCTTCATTTTTTAAAGGCTTTGTAGGGCTTCTTTAAGGTTTAGAAGTCTCTGCATGGCTTCGAAGGATCTTTTGAGGCGTGTCCTCGTCTTGAAGCCCCCAAGAACAGACGAATGTGACACCGCAAGCTTCGAAAGGACCAGCAATGGCAACGTCCCAAGCGTGGGAGCCGGCGAGGGCCCAAGAGAGGATCTAAAGTTGCCTCTGTGCAACTATGCCCCGGGGGCATGAGAACGCACATGCCCACATGCGCATAGCTCACAAGGAGAGCAAGGTGTGCAATCAGAATTGGGGGGATTTGGGGGGGGGGGGGAAGCTTCGCTGAAGGAGGCTCCGTCTCACCTCGTGCTTCTTGAGGATCTGCTTGAACTCCTCAAAGTCGAGCTTTCCATCTCCGGAGGTGTCCTAGGGGAAAGGGCCCATCTTGAACCCAAAGAGCGCTCCCCAAGATGCTCCCGAGAGGGAGGGAGAGGGAGAAAGACAGAGAGGGAGCGAGTCTTCGAAGCCTTTGCTGGGCTATGGCTTATGGAGCCTTGTGGACTCTTCTACGGCGTCATGCAACCATTCGGAAAGAAGCTCCGGGACCATGGGCCAGATCTTGAAGCAGCGATTCTTTGCGCGTCTTCTTGATGCCCCCCCCCCCCCCTTTGCTTGTGCTAAGCGCGCTTATGGAGATTCAACGAGGTCCGAGGATCCGCTTCGTGGAAGAGCTCGGACATCTTGGCCACGTGCGCGCGCATCGTGCGCATCTTCTCGCGCACCATGACCTGAGGCTACGCAGGGTTTGGGGGTCTGGCAGAACTGAAGTGCCAGTCTCCTGCGGCATGCATTTCGAAACGACCAGGGCTGCATCCTGAAGCCGAGGCGCGGTGTCGTCCAAGTAGGCGACTTTGAAAGTTTCTTGCCTTAAGGCGGGGCAGGTGCACTGAAACCCCTCCCTCTGTCATCTGTTGGGGCAACCCTTTGCTGTTGCTTCATTTCATTTGCGAGAAAAAGCGGCATCAGCACAGCATTGATGACGCCGATCACGGCGAAGCCCATGGTGAGCTTGTGAAGCAAGCACGCAACCAGCCACCACTCGCTGACCTCGGACATGTCTCGACTAAGTTGCCGCGCACATTTGCTGAAATTTCGGGGCGGGTTGTTGGGTGACTTCCTGAATTCCAAAAAGCTGCAATTCCTCTGACCTGCCACAATTCCAGAGCGATCTCCCAAGGCTCCTTTCCGAAAAGCGACCCCCCCGGCCTCCTCCACGAGGAGTCGACAAACCGGGGGCCAGTTGGCCAGGGTCAGCTCGAACAAGGACCTCTGCAGAGCTGCCCTCCCAGGATTGGAGCCAAGTGCTGACGACCGAGATTCGATTCTGAAATGGGCAAGATATGTGCAGTTTCCTACACCAAAGACAAGGCCTTGACGCTTCAACACTAGTAACCGCCCAGTCCCCAAGCTACACTTGCTTGTGAGGTGCAGCAGGGAACGTGTAAAGGTCCCAAAGTACTCGTAGACACGCAGCTGAGCCTGGAACCAGCGGTTTCATCGGCGGCGAAGGTCTTGTATGGTTTTGAGGATTGATTCCCGCTGGGTCACATCATCCTCCCGCCCCAGCCACCAGGACTAATGATTATGCAGCTTTAAAACCCAGGACTACTCTTCACCCTCCCCAAAAACTCAATCATGTTCCGCCTCAATGAACCATGGTTCTCTCTTCTTCTTGTGGTTTCTCTTCTGTATATATATGTATCTCTACATCTCTCTCTCTCTCTCTCTCGCTCTCTCTCTCTCTGTCTCTCTCTCTCTCTCTCTCTCTGTCTCTCTCTCTCTCTCTGTATCTCTCTCTCTCTCTCTCTCTCTCTTTCGCTCTCTACCTACGCGCTTGACTCCTATGAGGGAGGGCTGAGGCACACCCCAGCTAACGATTTGCGTGGAAGTGGAACACCACGTAAGGCGCGTTTCGCGAGTCAACCTGCGCTTGTCTCAAGGGCTCAGGGAACTGTCTGGATTCGTCTCTGCAATCGCCGGAACATTCATATCAGTCCGTATACGAACCGAATAATACTCTTTCCTTGGATGGAGTTCTATCTCCAGGAAACCAGGACTTTCCATGAACTTATTGCTCTCTAATGAGCCTCTTGCTGTGTATGCCTGCTGGGAGGACCATTACTTTGTCTTTCTTATTTCAAGGCCATCTAGAAGTGATTAAACATGCTGAAACCACACGAGCTCCATCTTCATTTTTTTTGCCCAATTCGTACCTCCTCCTAACTTCCCTGTTAAGAATCTTTTCAGTTGGAGGTGCTGCAGGATGAGCTTTTTGATTTTTTTTAACTAGAATCCCAAGTCTTGGGAACCAAGCAGCGGACATGAGGGATGAACGAAGCAGAGAGAGCACTCCAAGGCCAGAAATGTGGCCAGATGTGCTGAAACGCTGAACCCGAAACCCTGAACCTGAATTATTTGGGTTTAGGGTTTAGGGTTTAGGGTTTAGGGTTTAGGGTTTAGGGTTTAGGGTTTAGGGTTTAGGGTTTAGGGTTTAGGGTTTAGGGTTTAGGGTTTAGGGTTTGGGGACCCCCCTCGCTTTGCATGTCTTTGACAGCAGTCTGATGCATGCAAATGCGGCGCAACCTTGCTGCGGACGCGAGCGATGCCGCAAGCAGAGACAAGCAATATTTCTTCACACGGTTTAGGGTTTAGGGTTTAGGGTTTAGGGTTTAGGGTTTAGGGTTTAGGGTTTAGGGTTTAGGGTTTAGGGTTTAGGGTTTAGGGTTTAGGGTTTAGGGTTTAGGGTTTAGGGTTTAGGGTTTAGGGTTTAGAGCAGAGCAACCCTCAACCCTATACCAGAAGAAGATCAGCTGGGAGGCTCCCTCCCGCATCCCATAGGGCCTTCTTAAAGCGGTTCTCTTTCCCAACCTCTCAAAAAAAGAGGCCTATTCAAAACAAAAAGCTTCTGAAAGCCCTACAAGCTCAACTGGTGAGCCTCTTGGTTTTCCGCGTCCGGATTGAAGTAGAAGCCGAACAAGATCTGTTGCACCTCGGTGGCATCGTGCAGCCTACCCTAAACCCCTAAACTCTAAACCCTAAACCCCTAAACCCCTAAACCCCTAAACCCCTAAACCCCTAAACCCCTAAACCCCTAAACCCCTAAACCCCTAAACCCCTAAACCCCCCTAAACCCTAAACCCCTAAACCCCTAAACCCCTAAACCTAAACCCTAAACCCTAACCCCCTAACCCCCTAAACCCCTAAACCCCTAAACCCCTAAACCCCTAAACCCCTAAACCCCTAAACCCCTAAACCCCTAAACCCCTAAACCCCTAAACCCCTAAACCCCTAAACCCCTAAACCCCTAAACCCCTAAAACCTCAACCCGAAACCCCTAAACCCTGAACTCCTCAGCCCGAAACCCCTAAACCCCTCAACCCTAAACCCCAAAGGCCCTGACAGGGCCCCCTGTTTCGGGGCACCTGATCCCCTAAACCGCTACACCCCCCAAACCCCTAAACCCCTAAACCCCCAAACCCCCAAACCCCCAAACCCCTAAACCCCTAAACCCCGAAAACCCCTAAACCCCCAAATTCCTAAACCCCTAAAACCCCCAAGGCCCTGACGGAACCCTGCACAGCCGAGGAGCCACCAGCGCAAAGAGGAGCTGACAGATGAAGAGAAGGGCCATGGTCCAACCCAGCCTGAGCTTTGGGGTTTGGGGGGGGTTTGGGGGGGTTTAGGGGGGTTTGGGGGGGTTTGGGTGGGTTTGGGGGGGTTTGGGGGGTTTGGGGGTTTGGGGGTTTGGGGGTTTGGGGGGTTTGGGGGGTTTGGGGGGTTTGGGGGTTTGGGGGGTTTGGGGGGTTTGGGGGTTTGGGGGGTTTGGGGGTTTGGGGTTTGGGGTTCTCAGTCTTGGTTTTCTGAGTCTGGCTTCGCTTCTTTGGGAGAGGGAAGATGTTGGGAGACATGTTGGAATCTGGGTCAGACTTCTCCAGAAGCCCACAGGTGAAGGCCCAAGCAATGTCTGAAGATCTGTAGCTAAAACAGCTTATATGATATTATATTATATTATACTATACTATATTATATAATACTAACACGGCGGCACGGCAACAAGGAACTCCAGCTTCATCACTAAACCCTGAATCCTACACCCTGATCCCACTACACTTGCAAAGCAGCACGGCGTACGGCAGTTGTGACCGCGACTATATCCCCACATGCCTATGAATGCTTCAGCTGTCCGGAATTCCCTGGCAGTGGAGCCCTTTTTGTTCTCGCATGCCTACATTGTGGCTGTGTTGGGCCTACTTTCGGGATGTTGGGATGTGCCGATCTCCTCTGCCAGGCGACACGGTGACGCTGCTCCGGATCGCTGTCGTCATCAAAAAGAGCGCGTCGAACTCTTGGATCCTGTTCCGAAACGATTCACGTGCCCGTGTCGCAGGAGGCGCTTAGACGCGCAATGAGCTATGGAACCCTAACACCTCAACCCTGAACCCTACTTTGGGACCCCAATTGTCTTCCCAATTGTCTCCCTTGGGGCCTGAGAATCATTTGGGTGAGCCGAAGACACAGAACCCATCTTTTTCACGCTCACTCGCGGCCTCACCGTGCCTTAGCACTGGCCGATCACACATTGTGAGTTCGGGAATCCCGCTGCGTGCTACTTATTTTAGCATGGCTTCCTTCCCTTCTTTCCATTTTCTCCTGTGCTCCCTCCCTCTTTCAACCTGCTCTTCCCTTTTGAAATTGCGAGATCGCTCTCTGAAAACTCTGGCTACACTGCGGCACGCTACCTCCTGGCAGCCTCAGCGCTGGCATGCGGCCCCCCACTAGATCAGGCGCCTGCGAACCAAGCGCAAAAGCCGAAGAAGGCGGAACAGGCGCGCCAGTCGGAGAATCTGGCTGTTCACCTTGAAACTTAAGGAGGCTTTCGGCTCAAAGGAGTGTGGCTGGAACACCGGAATCTCCGGCTGCTCTGCAAAATTGGGGGTGTCTCCATGCCCGTTTGTCTTCAAAAGCTCTTGGAGTGCCAGGCACTTGCGCAGTCGCCGTGCGTTTGGGGGCGTGATGGCGTGATGCGTTCTGCAAACCTCTCGGCTGCCTAACTCCCCTTGCAAGGCCTCGAGGTTTGGGGCAGAGTGTAGCGACACAAGGGAAGAATTCAGGTCTCAAATAAACTGCGTGCCAGCCGCGGGCAGGTTCGTGAAAGACCTTAGTTGGCGACTGAGCTCTTGAGGCAGTGGAGCTCTGCTCTCTCGAGTTTGCCGTCGAGGTCTCATGATACTAGGCCCCCCAAGCAGGAACTTGCTAGTGAAATAGGGGTGTCGAGATGAGCCCCGTGGCTTCCAAGCATCTGCTGCCAAAACACGATGCTGCTGAGAATAGGAATAGGAAGAGCAATCGCAGGACACGTGCATCAAATAGGAATACTAACCCCATGCCTTAGACATGCAAGGATAAAGGGACAGCTGGGTCCTTGCTTTGGAACACACGTCAAGCTAAGTCACCGTAAACCCGGCTTTCAACATCAACAAACATGTCGTGCCCTCATGATGATAAGGCTTCAAACAAGAGCGAGCAGAGCTGCTTAAGCTCCTTAAGACAAGAATTCACAAAAACACTGTGCTTTCATTATGGTATACAGCTTAAACTGGGTTGTGCTTAAAACCCTTTGAAAATTATTTATGAATAGGTACCCTTATAAGGGGAAGACCTTACGACAAGAGATTATTGAGTTCTTAAGGGAGGGGTTTTCAAGGGGATAGGTACCTAGAAAAACCTTAGGGGGAACTTAGAGAGCCTTAGGGAGTTTTAGGGAACCTTGGTTACATCCCCCCCTTTGAACCCCCCTCCCTAACCCTAAACCCTAAACCCTAAACCCTAAACCCTAAACCCTAAACCCTAAACCCCAAACCCCAAACCCTAAACCCTAAACCCTAAACCCTAAAGAGAGCGAACCTGAAAGCAGAAGTTCGCCCAGTGTCTTCTCCAGAAGCCACACGCTGATCACCATTGCGTCCAACCAGTTCCAAGCTTCCTCTGAGTCTGAAATCTTCCGAATCTTATTGGGGTTTAGGGTTTAGGGTTTAGGGTTTAGGGTTTAGGGTTTA